CTGCCTCAGCCTCCCGAGTAGCTGGGACTACAGGCATGTGATAAATTATATCCATATATATTTTTGTTGTTTTTTTTTTTTTTTTTTGAGACAGAGTCTGGCTCTGTTGCCCAGGCTAGAGTGAGTGTCATGGTGTCAGCCTAGCTCACAGCAACCTCACACTCCTGGGCTCAAGTGATCCTCCTGCCTCAGCCTCCTGAGTAACTGGGACTACAGGTATGCACCACCATGCCTGGCTAATTTTTTCATATATATGTATTTTTAGTTGTCTAGCTAATTTCCTTCTATTTTTAGTAGAGATGGGGTCTCTCTCTTGCTGGTCTCAAACTCCTGACCTTGAGCGATCCACCCGCCTCGGCCTCCCAGAATGCTAGGATTACAGGCGTGAGCCACGGTGCCCGGCCCCAAAAAGCCTTGAATTTTTTAATTGCTACATAGCATTTTACATATGTACAGGGTCCATGTGATACTTTGTTGCATGCACAGACCGAGTAAGGACCAGGACAGGGTGTCTGAGGTATCCACTGCCTTGAGCCTTGATCTTATCTTTGTGTTGGTAACATATCAAGTGCCCTAGTGTAGCTACTTTGAAATATACAACACGCCGTTGCTCACGTAGTCGCTCTAGTCTGCTATCAAACAATAGCATCTATTCCTTCAGTCTAACTGCGTGTTTGAGCCCATTAACCAACCTCCCTTCATCGCACCCCAACCCTCACTCCCTTCTCAGCCTCTGGTATCCAGTGGTCTGTGGATGGACATTGGGTGGGTTTCCTCTCTGTGCTCCCGCGAGTGGTGCTGCTACACACATCGGGTGTCGGGGTCCCTTTGATAAAATGATTCTTTTCCTTTGGACAAATACCCAGTAGTGGGATCGCTGGGTCGAGCGGTAATTCTATTTTTAGTTGTTTGGAGAAATCTCCATACTATTTTCCATAGAGAGCCAATTTACATTCCCACCAACGATGTACAGAGTTCTCTTTTCTCCGTGTCCCAGCCAGCACCTGCTGTTTTCTTGTGTTTTTAGTCATAGCCCGTTCCAGCTGGGGTAAGGTGATATCTCATTGCGGTTTTTACTTGCATTTTCCTGATGATTAGTGATGTTGAGCA